CTATCATCCTCCGACTGACGGACCAAGCGAAAGGACCATCTAGACGCTAGAAGACATGTTGAGGGCATGTGTGATAGACTTTGGTAAAGCTTGGGATACCCACTTACCACTTGTCGAGTTCTCCTACAATAACAACTATCACACTAGCATAAAGTCCGCTCCATTCGAAGCCTTTTACAGACGCAAATGCAGATCACCCCTATGCTGGGCCAAGGTGGGTGACACACAGCTGGAAATAGGACAAGTACCTGATAGCACAGTCGTCGGACCGAAAATCATACGGGAAACCACGGATCGTCCAAATATGTGAACATTTCAAAGCATCCCGGGATCGGGAAAAGAATTATGCAGATAAGCGGCGCAAACTCTTGGAGTCCCAGGTCGATGACCGCGTACTGGTGAAGGTCTCGCCCTGGAAAGGAATGATATGCTTTGGAAAACGTGGGAAGTCAAAAGGACGAAACAAAGTTGTATACCAACAGTGAATGTCCACTGGAACGCCAAGCGAGGACCTGAATTCACTTGCGAGCGCGAAGATCAAATGAAACAGAAGTACCCACATCTCTTCCCTAGTTTGTGAGTGCCTACTCTAGAACTAATTTCGGGACGAAATTCCTCTAACGGGGGGATGATGTGACAACCAGAATATTTTGATTAACCAAGGTCTACGGTGTATCTATGTATAATGTAAAACCACATCACAACCTTGTTGCAATAAAACTTTGAAAACCAAAAGGGTATCATTTGTATAAGTAGATATATAAGCATATATGCATACTTTAAAAACCATGTTGGTAGTAAACACTTAAAGGCAAAGCAAAGCCAAATCAATGGAACATAAAACCATGAAATTTAAAACATTATCTTATAGTTTTTGGCCTAGAAACACCAAAAATGAAATCACCTTTTTATGGGTGATACCAAAACCGAAAACACAATAAATGAATGGGATAGGACCGAAATCATCAAACTAGAACCCTTTAGGCCGAAAACACCTAAGAACCCAAACCACTAGGACTGAAAACATCTTGTGGAGGAGTTAGGGCCAAAATCACCAAGAGTGAAAGGTGATTTCGGTTTTGGGAGTAAAGGGGTAGGAGTTGACCTAGTGACTTGATGTTTCCACTTTGCCACCTTTTATCCAATACATATCCATGCAACCCAAGCCTTTACCCCGCAAGCAACCATGCAACACATGATATTAACCCACAAACAACCATGCACCCATCCCATCCCCTTCCCTTTTTTAATTTCGGCCAAGAATGGCCTTCCCCCACCATTATCATATCCTTTCATCTTCAACACTCCTCATTCTCTCAAGATCATCACCTTCAAGTTGGTCCTTATACTTTGGTAAGCATTTTTGTAAACCTATATTGATTCCATACACTTTTATGTTGATTTCATCATCTTTACACATTATTGTGTGTTGAAACTTTAGGATAGTAACATCTTCAAGGGAGTTCATCAACTCCATTCAAGATTCTAGACTCGAAATCTTCACTTCATCACTTCAAACTACCCACAAATCCACTCCAGGTGAGTTCATACCCCTTCATTTTAGAATTTTTCCATGTTTTAGAGGGGAAATACAAGTAAACAAATCATATTTGGATGATCTAAAGGCTTTGCAAATTAAAAATACAAGTTATGTCACTAAAACATATCTAAGCTTAAAAATCAGCTTTTTACAGAAAAGTTGTGGTCTGTTCACCGATTTTTTTCTCTACTTAAACTTCGTATATTTTAAAACTATTCAACATGCAAATATTTCAGGTCTATACCTTTTTAAGGACTACTCGCATGCGTTCATACAGGTTTTCTACAATTTATGGGGATTTTTACAAAATTGTCTATCATTTCAGAACATTTTCGGACCAGTCTGTAAAAATGAACGTTGTCACTCTGGTTAGGAACCACTTATGATCAGGGAAATATATTATGGACAATGTAGACTCGTTTTCTAAGATCTGAGAGTTTACGGATCCAAATTTTGACTTATGATGATTTTTCTATAATTTTTTTAAAAACAGGGACAGAAAAGTCAAAAACTAAAAATTGTCTTTATTATACTAAATGTTTCAAACTTGTGTTTAGATGTAAGTTTATATGTTATAATCTTTTAAAACATCTAGACATGATAACTTACATGTGTTTATATATTTGATTATATAAATGGACTTAACAAAACATTCATAATAAACTATAATTGGTATAGTTTGGGAGTCACAAAACCACACTATCATTTCAGAAAAACCATATAATTATTCAAAAGTATAATTATTATGTTTTACAAGAAAAAAGAGTCATAGATCACGTAAATCTGTTGATGCTCTTGTGAGACATTTACTTCACCGTACCTACCTAGTGTACACCTTAAGTCATGTATTATAACCAGAGTGTCCTTGAGGGAGAGCGAGATAGTTATGTATAGATCTATACGGGATTGACAACCCCACACCTCAGTTGTTCCCTACAGTTAGACCGACCAGTCTATGGTGACAAATGTCTACCAATTCCGACACCTGAAGAACGTCGTTCAGGCGTATCACTCATATTAAGTATGGTTATAATAACTCACATAGGGATTAACAAAAGTACTCGGTTTACGGGGTAACTTACACTTCATTAGTTTTATTAAAAGATGAAACTACCTACTATTTTCTCAGTACAACATTACTTACATTCTTGGTCTTAGGATTTAAGACTACAGTTTATATTTACGAAAATATTGGATTTTCGGGTAACATACAATATCACTTTACAAGGAAAAGATACAAATGAAATACATATATTTTAGTCTTAGGTATAAGACTTACAACTCGTTTTTAAAGAAAATATCGGATTTTCTAGAAGTGTACAAAACCATTTTTACACGAAACATTTACCAACTATTTTTCATACAAAATGCTTATGAACTCACCAACTTAATTGTTGGCACTTTTCAAAATCACTTGTATTCTCAGGAATTCAGTAACAGGTAATCACGAGAGATTTGGAGGATGGAACGTCGTCGCATCATGTTATTTATTCTTGTCATATGCATTTGATATTATGTAAACAATGTTTTGAGCACAATGTAACTTTATTAAATATTCAATACAATGGTTGTAATGCTTTGATCACTACTATTAATTTTTATGATACTGTACATAAAGTCATCCACCCCCAGACGTTTCCGCCGTTCTGGTTTGGGGGTGTGACAACTAACACCCCCCCCCCTGTAGTTTGATCGGGTGGATACGATTAAACTGGAAAAATAAAAAAAAGAAGAAAGCATAAAAACTGGATGAAGATAACGGCATGGACGGTAGTAGAGCTTTAACAATGGTGGCTATCATCAACTGCTCGTCGAAGAAGAGAAGAGAAGTGGCATCGATAGGTGATTCTGCTGTAGAAAAAGAGAAGATTTGCGGTTAATGATCATGCAACCAACGACAAAGGAGTCTGGAGAAAGGCAACGATAAAGAAAGAGGGCTCGAGCTATGACAGACGGAGCCAATTCTGGCGAGATCGGCAACTACAATGTTGATAGAGATAGAAACGACTAAAGATCTGAGGCTGCCCGGCGGAGAATGTGCCATCGGAGGGAGGCAACAGCAACATTAGAAGGGGCTGAATCGGAAAAGAGATGTGATGAAGTGGCCAGCCGAGGAGGAGGCAGAATGCTCAGAGGCAAGGGTCATCTGAGGAAGAGGTAGAAGTAGACGAGGCAATGGAAGAAACCGATGAAAAAACTCTAGTTTGGTCTCAGTGGCTGATTTATTATTTAGGTGGAAAAGAGAAGAAAATGAAAAATATGGAACATAATGAAGGCACCTCCGACGACTATTGGAGAAGGTCGTCGGAGGTTGAAGGCGGTGGATGTGGGTTGTGGACAGTAGCAAGGTTTTAACCTAGATCTTTGATACCATGTTAGATAATGGATTGATTCTCCAAAGTCAATTACATAAGAATATATAGATAATACCGAAAGCCTAATGGCTAAACCCTAAAGGGCTTGGGCCTAAACCGTTACCGCTAACATAAAAAGAAGACGAAAATGCAAAAATTGTCCGTATGATTTTCATTTTTTTTCAAGAAAAAAGGTCCAAATCATTAAAATTTTGGATTGATTGTCATTTTCAGCAAGTTTGCCTATGTTTTTGGTCCCTCTACAAAATGAAAAGTATATTGTACCCCTAATATAGATTTTTTTAATTTTTCTTTCTTTTTTTAACTATCTCCCTAATATAATAAATGAATAGGTCATACTATTAAAACTCATCATTAATATTATATGTTACCTATCAGGTCACTTGTCAACCTATTAATTATAAATTTCAAATTTCAAATTTCAAATTTTAAATTTTCTCATTCTAATTACATTAAATTAATAATTGATTCTCTATTTTAAATTTTAAATTTTAATTTTTTCATTGTAATTATATTAAATTAAGAGTAAAAAAATAAAATAAAATTAATACATATTATAAGGTGATATAACTTTACGTATTTATTTAAATCAACGATTATAATTTTATATAACTAAAAAAATATCTGTTAAGTAATTATATATTTAAATTAATTGATTAATATTTTGATTTTTTAATTTGAAAGTTTAATTAATAGTATAACTGTTGTCTTATAAACTGGTTTTTTCATTCATAAATAAAGAAAAGGTCCCCTCTCTCTCTCATTAGCAACCGTTCAAAACTCAAGAACGCATACATAGTTACATACTTAGAGATTTAATTTTTGGGTTTCATTAACATATTAGATAATCACACTCATAAATCTGAAATGTTTAGGACATTTTTTGTTTGTGTTTATGTGTTTTTATTTTTGAAATCGAGTTCTAGAAACCCAACAAACGAATTACAAAATTGATTTCAAAAACAAAATACAAAATCAATTTCGGAAACGAAATATATGTGTATATCTGATGATTTTGGTCTTGAGTTCTTGAGGATGAGCGCACACACACAACACACATACACACCAAAATCATACCGACAAATTAATTCTCTCCTTCCCACATGTGAATGCAGGCAACCCAATGAAGGAAATTAAGGGAAAATAAAACACAGATGAAACACAAGATACGATTAAGGCTTCCATCCATATTGTTCATCAGCGATATACGAATATATGAATCACAAATAATATTCACTGTTTCTATCTTCTCCTGTTTCAGTCATGTACTCGCTGACGCTTCACCCTCCACTCCCCAATCACCGGAAACATTTCAGTCAAGAACAAACCAGAGTTTCTTTTACCGTCGAGTTGCAGCAACCCAAAACCCATTTCGAACCTATGAAGTTTAATGCTAAAGCTTTCATGATCTCATGGAGCTCATTTTAGAGACTCAGTTAAATATCATGTACAATCAGAGATATTATGAGAAAACCCAAAGTAAGATCAAAAACCCAGAAATTCTAAAAACACACCAAATGAATATCAAATAACCGAGACGCGATTATGAGGCTTACGAGAGAGATCGTTATAAGGAGATGACAAGAAAAAACCATCACACCTTTTTAATGGCAATACAAAAATACCCTGCTTCCAAGGTACAAATTTGAGTATGTGTGTGTTTTTTTTGAGGAAGAGGCTGATCGATCAGGTGAAGAACAAGAGAGAGAAGTGGGCCATATATTTATTATTAATAAAAATTTAAATTAATATAAACAAACATAAAAAAAATGTATCATAATATATTTTAGTGTTTTTAGTTTTTGAAAATACCAAAACCAAATGCAAAAGTTATGGTGGTTTGAACCTTTAGCTTCAAAAATACATATCAAAGAGACTATTTTTTGCAGTTTTTTCTAAAAATAATAAAATAGTTTTTTTTGAACAAAATCATAAAAACTAAATAAATAAATTACATTATTGGTAAAGTCCAAACCATTTACAAGACGATTTAACGTGACATAATATAAAATAATGAAAAATACAAAGGATAATGAAGTTTCCTTATTACTAAAAAGTGGAAAAAACTTTGCATCTTTGTCGTATTTTTCTATGTTTCCATCAATCATCATATAAATACAAAATCAAATGACGAACTTAGTCAGTTTGAAATTTGTATAGAAAAACAGTGGTCTTGCATTCGTAAACACGTATCAAAAAAGTTAATATTATTATAATATATAATGGAAATCATAATAAAATATAAATATTTGATTACTTTTTAGAGGAGTTAATTAAGTTTGAATGTTTTTTTATAATCAAAGAAGCAATACCTAAATCTAAAATCTAAACCATTAAGATTATGTAAAAAATGTATTGAATAAATTGTCTCAACAAAAGCATGTCCTTCTGCCTCTTAATTATTATTATGCCCATAGAAATATCAAAAATAAAATAAAAACTTAAATACCTATTATGCAAAAAGAAAAAGATACGTGTGAAATTATTAAAATAAATTAAAGGGTTATTTTCCCGTCAAACCAAGACACCTAAACTCCAGGTGTTTTGATGATAAAGGCACCATAGTTTACTATTTTTTACAGGTGAAAAATCAAATCAGGCTGGTTATTTGAGCACGGAAACTTATCTGGACTTAATGTTTTATTTTCTACCAGCGATCATTGTTAGCAAAATGAAGCAGTTTCAAGCTTTCCATTTACTCATCTTGATTTCATTAACAGAAGCTCTTGATTACGCCAAGCCAGGATGCAAAGATACATGTGGGAATGTCAGGATTCCATACCCTTTCGGAATTGGACGAAATTGTTCTCTGAACGAATGGTACACTCTTGACTGTAACTTCTCTACACCATATCTTTCTGCACTCAACAACATGGAGGTGTTGAATATAAACTTGGAACAACAAACGATCACTGTTAATGTCTCCAAGATCTCTAATTGCCAGAACCCAGTATGGAATAGCAGTCATATTCTAAGAGCCAACCCTGGTAGTGGTGGGAATCCCTTCCTATTTGCCAAATTGCATAACATATTCGTGGTTGAGGGATGTGGCAACGCTTTCATGATCCGTGACCATGGGTCGGCTGTTGTCACGGGATGTTCAGCTACTTGCCACAATAACACTGTTAGTGATGTAAACAACTGCTTTGGCATCGGTTGTTGCCAAACAATCATCCCTTATGATCTTAAGTCATTCAGCTTGGATCTTACAGACATGGAAACACAGAAAGGAGTTTGTGGGTTTGCCTACTTAGTTGATAAGAATTCATACGTTCAAGGAAGTAGCTTTTCTGACCAATCCACTTTTGTTCCCATATCACTTTTGTGGACTCTGGCTGACCATGACTACGATCAATTACCAGGTTGTTCGCAATCAGTACGTACAAGAACCGTATTTGATCTAGGTTACAATACATCCGCAGAGTCTATTAGGTGTGAGTGTGGTGCAACATATGAAGGAAACCCTTATTTAGAGGGTGGATGCAAAGGTGGATGAATTTTTGTTTACTTTTGTATTAATGATTTTGTTCATGATATATACTTACTAGATCTGTTATGTTTATGTGATTTTAGAACATGAAGAATGTGTGAAGTGTCGTCGTACTGGGGGTAATTGCATCTTTGACCCAGTATATAATGTTGACTTGAAACTGATCTGGAATGTTACTTGTCTTTCTAACGAAACAAATCGTAGCCATGGTTTTAGAAGCAGCAAAACGTCACTAGGTGTTATACTAGGTATGGTATATTTTCTTATTTTTCGATTACATGTCCCCATATTCTTGATGAATGGCTTTCTATTTTCTTCTCGATGGATGTCTATTTTTGTGATCGTTTCATAACATTCAATGGCTCTCGCATAAATCTTTAGTCATAACTAGGTGAGCAAGAAGCCCCACACTATGAATACTTAATTAACAGCATGAGTTTTATTCATTGTCTGAGAAACTTACCTGATATATTCGGCTTCAATTCGAGCAAGTCCAAAAAGGTCGATTTCAGTTGTTTTATGGTTCGTCATTGACTATTAATTCTTTTCTATATATTATATTCATATTATCTTTATTATTTTGTTATCTAATCACTTGGTTTAAATAGAGCACCTATTTGTATTTGTGTTTCATATTAAAAGATAAGTTCAAACAATATTCCGAGAAATCTTTTTGGCGATATTTACAAATTAATAAAATGATATTATACAATGTTGAAAACAGGGATAGTGGTTGTAATTTTCACTTAACTCAATTGATTGGTATAGTTATTTGTAGCAATCAGCGGTATTAGATGTTGTCATCTCTCTTTCAGCTTGGGGGTTCAAGTTTCGTCATGAACGTATGTAGAATTAAAGAGTATTTAGGAGTACAATAGATTTACCGTTTAAAAAAAATATATATTTAAATGTAATCGGTGAACTTTTTTAGATTCATATATCAATTTTTGGCATTGTCTTTTTCTTCTTTCAGGTGTTAGCATAAGTATGGGACTGGTTTTTTCAACAATGCTCGTCTATGCATTGTATAAAGTAATCAAGAAAACTAAATCCAAGCGGCTGAAAGAAAGGTTTTTTAAACGCAATGGTGGTCTACTTCTTAAGCAACAACAAGCAACCAATATTCATTTAGTTGACAAAACCATACTTTTCAGCTCCAACGAGTTGGAGAAGGCAACTAACCATTTTAATGAGAACAGAATTCTTGGTCGAGGAGGTCAAGGTACAGTGTACAAAGGCATGTTAACCGATGGAAGGATTGTAGCAATCAAGAAATCAAAGATGGTTGATGAAAGCCAACTACAACAATTCATTAATGAGGTAGTCATTCTTTCACAAGTCAATCATAGAAACGTGGTCAAACTACTTGGATGTTGCTTAGAGACTGAGGTTCCACTGCTTGTCTCCGAGTTCATCTCGAATGGTACGTTGTATGACCTTCTTCATGATGAAACCGATGAGTTCTCTTTCTCTTTAAATATGAGAATACAAATCGCCACAGATGTTGCAGGAGCACTTGCTTACTTACATTCATCAACCTCCTTTCCGATATACCATAGGGACATCAAAACCACAAATATACTCTTAGATGAAAAGTATAGAGCAAAAATTTCAGACTTTGGAACTTCAAGGCTTGTATCGATAGATCAAACTCATTTGACTACCTTAGTCAAAGGGACATTTGGTTATTTGGATCCAGAGTACTTCCAATCGAGCCAGTTCACCGAAAAAAGTGATGTCTATAGTTTTGGAGTAGTTTTGTTGGAACTATTAACAAGAGAAAAGCCAATCATCTTCACTAGCTCTGGTGAAAATAAAAGTTTAACAACACACTTTTTGTTAGCCATGGAAGAAGGTCGTGTGATGTCTATTTTTGATGCAATAGTTGTTAAGGAGGGTTCTAGGACCGAACTGTTGACCATAGCTAACTTGGTAATGCGATGCTTAAATATGAATGGTAAAAATAGGCCAACAATGAAAGAAGTTTTCGTTGAGTTAGAAGGCATTCGGTTGTCACATGTTCCTTCTAAGGTCCAAACTAATTTTGGACATGCAAAATACTATGAAGAGTTCCCACTAGCGTATGGTGAGTCAACATCGACAACAACCACATTTGATGAATCACTGTAACTCTTAAGTGTTTTTTAAGCCTACTTTTGGTTTCTTCAAATATAATCGTTTGTTGGCAAGTAAGTTGTATACTAATGACAGGAGTGTTAATAAATAAGTATGAATGAGAAATGGTATTGGTACGTAATAACTCTTTGTAAATTTTAAACAAAGAATTATTAAGGGTTATTTTAGGTTTCACGGGAAACCGCTTAGGTGGATTTCTTTTTTATGAATAAGTATATAAAGTGGTATGTTTTTGATGATTTTGTATGATATTGTTGTTGTTGTTGTTGTTCATACCCACCCCTAAGCCATACGTACCCATTTTCATGTCATATCGATTACAATCCTCCAACGATTTCTAGATACTATCATTCGTATATTGGCCACCACTTGTCCTCTGATGAATTAGTGAACCCAAATCACAATGTCTGTGGTGTCAAAACAAATAAAATTGAATCATCAGGTAAAGGGAAGGGAAAGGGAAGGAATTCTGGAAAATCTTCTATACAAGTATCCAAGAGCTTCCTCTATGAAACATTTCTCACCCATGATTGTAATCCACATGAAAACTTATGAGTATGAGATCGTAAATAATTATGAACTAAATCATAAATGTTGGTTGTAACATTCCTCATATAGTATGTTGAAGATAACATTATACTTTGATTAAAGTAAATAAATTCAAAAGTACATCATGAAATCCTAGTGCATGAAAACATTCTATCATATAGTTATCAATTTTTTTTCCCAAGGAATCTTCAACCCATATCAAAGGTATAAACAATAAAAGTAAATGTCTAGTTATCCTTAAGACAAAAATAAAAGAGTGAATTTCATATCATATAATCTCAAACTCGCCTACTAATTAAGATAATATTTCTATCAAACTATAACCTATTACCTTAGACCAAGGTTCTAAATAACGTAAGGCGTGACTTGGCGGCAATGTCAAGCCTCAAGCTTTTCCGAGCCTTGGCGAGTCACGTCGTTTGTAAGGCGTGACTTAAGGCGGCAATTTTGTATATAATTCATATTTTTATATGTATTTTCTACTATTATTAATTTTTATACACATATATGAGTCAATGCGGCGTTTTGGTAAAGCTTGGCGGCACATGCAAACCTTGGAGTCATGGCGCGCCATGGTGGAGCCATGGCGAACTTTTTAGAACCTTGCCTTAGACACATGCCAACAAATAGTACATTACATTCGAAATTTTGGTAACACGAAAGAGTTTGAAAATTTTATATAATTACAAAATTGTACATTAAAAATACTAAAATAGTATATCCAATTTTAGGAGTAGATTAGATTTGACGTATCAAAAAAAATAAAAAAAAATGATGTGTGTGTTCTCACTGTTATCTATGTATTTATGTGTGTATGTTGATGTGTGTGTGGTTGTGTGTTTATGTGTGTGTGTTTATGTATGTGAGTGCCTTAGTGTATATTCGTTTTATGTAAACTAAAAGAACATCATACACTAAAAAACAGGTTCCCAAAAAGGAGAAGATTTTTCCACATATACTTTTTTTATCTACGAAAGATTCATATATTGACCATTATCCACTTCATTTTAATTTCTTAGATATTGATGGTAGAGAAGTGATATGGTCATATGGATATGTCTCCAAATTACATGCTTGATTCCAAATTCAGCCTATTTTACATACATCTTTTTTGTGAATTTCATACAAAATTGGCATACAAACAAACAAAAATCCAAATTTGAAAATACTAACCTTTTAACGGTTAAAACTAAAACCTATAGAACTTTAAATTACTTGTGACCAAAGGTGAGAATAGGCGAGTACATAGTTTGAATATTATATATACATTAGTTTAAATATTATAGTTGGACAACATGTTATTGTTTTTGAAATGAATTAATTTGAAGTTGTATTTTTTTTAAGTGGTTAATTATGTAATTATCTAATTTCGATTATTTTTTGGCTTTGATAAAAGAAATCCAAATTTTATTATTAAAGGTGGTTTTGCAATCTGATCTATGATCGTCTTTTTGTTTTATTACTGAAAGGTGTTTATAACCTCAAAAATAACCAAAGTTCTAAATAACGTAAGGCGTGACTTGGCGGCAATGTCAAGCCTTAAGTTTTTCCAAGCCTTGGCGAGCCACGTCGTTTGTAAGGCGTGACTTAACGCGGCAATTTTTGTATATAATTCATATTTTTATATGTGTTTTAAACTATTATTCATTTTTATTCACATATATGAGTCAAGGCGACGTTTTGGTAAAGCGTGGCGGCACATACAAGCCTTTCTTTTTAGAACCTTGAAAATAACAAGCTAATGGTGTAAAGGGTGATCAAAAGAAGAAAAAATATTAAATATTAAGAAGAGGGGTATAAATTTCAAAAGAAGAAAAGAAGAGGGGTATAAATTTCAAAAGAACAAAACTTGGTGGTGTAAATAATACTCAAAGAAAAGGGAAATAATTGGCCTAATCACAATAAATCAACTTTGAGAGATGATTCTTCGACATGTTGTTGATATTTTTTTGAAAAAAAAAAAAAAAAAAAAAAAAAAACTAAAATTTCTCCCTGTTAGGTATTTTCTAATTGTAATGAGGGTATAACTATCACTGTCTTTTTTTTAGTTAGTGTAATGTCCGCAAGATTGGCCAAGCTGATTAAAACATAATTGTATTAATTATTATAATTAAAATCTTTGAATAAGATAATTAGATAAATAGATGTTTTTGATAAACGATTATTTTGGTAAAATAATGTAAATGAAAGTCGTAGTAAACGTAAAAGCGAACTCGTGCGTATAAACAACCTCTAAAATTGACTATGTATGAGGATATTATGATTTTTTTCTATGTTTCGATACAGCAGTGTGCGACACATATATTGAAATTTAGATCGTTCGATTGTTAGGCAAAACAATCTAAATGAGAATCGATGATCTCGTGAATAGGAATCCGTCGATATAAAGACAATCGAGAATGAATGTCGTATGAAAAAGTTATGATTTTTACACAAATTTTAACAATCTAAGCTCTCTAAAAATATAACTTTAAAAATAATGTGAGAATTAGCCGACAACATTTAAATGAAAGTTGGAGTACTCATCAATAATAGCTATGTATGGATATAAAGAATGTCAAAAAACGGAGCTTGTACGAAAAAGATATTAATTTATGAAAAAAAATAAAAATTTGTGCGCAAAGACAGCAGACGTAGCTCACAAATGGTGGGGCGCGGCCCACCTAGATTGTGACACGTGGCAACATGTGACCGGAGCCACGTCAATTGTACCTACAAGAGGCGCGACACGCGCAGACCATATGTGCGGCGTAACCTACTTTTTCCAGCCTATATGTATAACTTGTTTGTTGCTCATTTTCTCACCAATTTACTCCCATATCCTCTGAAAACCCTCACTCACCCCTAGCCCCTATACTGTAACGTCCTAAAAATAAGACCCAAAAACCTTTTCATTTTTAAAATTACTAAAATAGTACGTCATCTCATTTTCATGAACCAAGGTAATTAAAGCATTATTAATACATCATCGTTATCAGAGTAAATCACAGAATGCAGAAACATGTGGTGTGTGCTCTCCAATCATACCGAACTCTTTCAACAGAAAACCGTAAGTACAAAGCTTAGTGAGTTCCCCAAGATACCACATACCAAACATACTAAATCACATACTGGGCCCCCGCCCGACATCGAGTCCCACTCGGCTTCGGGCCCCGCTCGGTTTATAGATTTGTCAGTCACCAGGCCCCACCTGACATTGGGCCCCGCCGGATACATGTAATCATATAAACATATAATCATACTAACACATGCGATAATCACAAAGACAATATCATACCATACGGTCATCGAACCCCGCCCGACATCAGGCCTTGTCCGGTACCATAAAACACATACTGATAACTTGCATACAGTATACTCATCAGGCCCCACCTGACATCGGGCCTTGCTCGGTAAACAAGCCATCACATAACGTGTGCAAGATTCAAGCAGACATCTAGCATCCTAACATATAAACCATGAGCCGACATTGGTGCCTTCGACCCGCTAAACTCAGCGAGGAGAATCACCTCGCACTGGCGAATCTCACAGAAAGAATCTTTGGCTGCTGGCCCACAAGAATCCCCACGCTAACAATCACAAGTTAATCATCCATCAATAATCGGATCCGACCCACACTAAGTGGCCAAACTAGGGTAAAAGACATTTTTACCCTCTCCATAACTTGCCCCAAGGCCAAGGCCCAATCCGACAATCCAAAGGCCCAATCCTAATTAGGCACCCAAGGCCCAAATCATGGCCTAATTTTCCATATTGGGCCCAAATCCCATAGTGGGCCTCCTCAAATAAATATCAGACCAAAACCTGATGGCCCAGCAGGGCCTAAAACAACTCTGCACAAAAAATGGCCTAAACCGAAGCCCAAACACCGAAATCCTGTCATGTTGAGTATGAGGGGCGTACTCATCTTATATTCTAAGCGTACTGGCTTAAGGGCATGTACGTTGCGCGTACAGGCTTGTACGCCCAATGTACTCCTCCATTCAGCCCAAACTCAATTTGCTTCTTAATCCGCTAAGAAATTGATCCCAAAACATAGATCTGACTTCTTTGAGCTGGGTAAGCACGTAAAGTTACTAACTTTATGCTCATGCATGACTTAATGTAACAATTGGCAAAAATTGGTCAGAGTTCGGTGGTCAAACCACCGCGACCCGCTATGTATTAATGACCAATTGTGTGTAACTTTATGTTAATAAGGAATATTAAATACATTATATTTATAGTTTCCTCTAAAAATTTAATTTCGTTTGAGCTTTTAAACCCGCCATGTCCGACCCAAACAATAGTCACGTATGAAATGTTTTAAAGAATCAAAATTGTTATTAGTAAAATTACACGATGGAAAATAATAACATTATTAATTATACATTAAACTTCCAATCTTACGTATATATCATAAAAATATGATGCAAGCATATAATATACAATTTTTATATATTACC